TCCTCAACCACTTGGCTTTCCTGTTTTAGTCCTGACTTTTTCTTTTGTTTTAACCATTTTGTTTAGACCTCGTTTAAACCTGGTTTAGTCCTTGTTTAGTCCTGGTTTGGAAATGGTTTAGTCCTGTTTTAGACCTGATTTACACCTGGTTGAGTCCTGGTTTAAATGTGGTTTAGTCCTGGTTTAGACCTGGTTTAAACCTGGTTTAGATCTGGTTTACACTTGGTTTAGACCTGGTTTAGATGTGGTTTAGTCCTGGTTTAAAACTGGTTTAGACCTGGTTTAGTCCTTGTTTAGATCTGGTTTAGACCTGGTTTAGTCCTAGTTTATTCCTGGTTTAGTGTAAGCGTGAAGACACGGGTCCACACAGCGTACAGGAGAAGGAATAAAACAGGCGCGGACCATTTCTTCAAATTGTGCTATACAATTGCTTTACCTACATTTTGTTACATAAAAGACAGGAAAAATAAGAAATCAATTCTACTGAAATCAAGTTAAATGTTCTTAATATGAGTAATTTAAAGTTATAGATATTACATTTTGTAGTGCAGACCATGTTGTGTAATTTTCTGTGTAAGGTCTGTTTATCCCATTGACCTAAAACACAAACAAAAGTCAGATTTTCAAGCTGTAGATCAGGGGTGTCAAACTCATTTTGGTTCGGGGGCCGTATCCAACCTACTTTGATCCAAAAGGGGCCGGATCAGAAAACTCATGTCATATAAACCCAAAAATAACAATAACTTCAAATATTTGTGCAGAGAAATGCAAATCTTTCACAGAAATCTTTTTTTCTCTTTCTTATTATAATATTATGAACAACTTGAAACTTGAAGAAAAATTCAATTTCAACACGATGTTTTAACAATAACTTGTATGCAAACAGGAATAAGTAAATTTTTGTTGTAAAATCCTGCACTCGGCTCTACTTTTCTCATGTTGAACATTTTTCTGATGAGGGTGTCACGGTCAACAGTCAAAACGATCGTCCTTTAAGAGCGTTTGGAAAGAGACAAGTCTTCATTTGTGCTGCACAGGTGGGAGGGGCCACGTACAGAGACGCTGCTATGCTGAGCCCCACAGAAAATTACCAATATTTTAATAGAAAATATTATTAAAATATTTTAGTAGAAAATCACCCAAGGGCCACATTAAAGGTCTTGGAGGGCCAGATCTGGCCCCTGGGCCTTATGTTTGACACCTGTGCTAAAGACTAAAAGACTAAAAGACTAAGAGACTATGAGACTATGAGACTAACAGACTAAACGACTATGAGACTAAAAGACTAAAAGACTATGAGACTAAAAGACTAAAAGACTATGAGACTAAGAGACTATGACACTATAAGACTATAAGACTGAAAGACTAAAAGACTAAAAGACTATGAGACTATGAGACTATGAGACTAACAGACTAAAAGACTAAAAGACTAAAAGACTATGAGACAGACTAAAAGACTAAAAGACTAAAAGACTATGAGACTAAGAGACTATGAGACTATAAGACTATAAGACTGAAAGACTAAAAGACTAAAAGACTATGAGACTATGAGACTATGAGACTATGAGACTAAGAGACTAAGAGACTAAAAGACTAAAAGACTATAACATGAACCTATAACTTGACCAAGTTAGGTTCAAAATCTAGACATGGGTCAATGGGTGCTACAGTTTGGTCACCCACTGAAGGCTACAAATTACCCCAGTAACATATGGATGGGTCAAATGCAGAGGACACATTCCCAAAATGGAAAAAAAAAATAATAATAATTCTATTACCATTGTGTACTTAATTGAGGCTTCAGTTGTATAAATTGATTTTTGCATGTAGTCATGTGAAGGTTGGCTGTTCGAATCCCGCCCTCGACATAAAACATCATTTGTTGAGCGGTCAGATCCACTGACCCACAGGTCGGCGGTGCGGACCCATCTCCCACAGATAAATGCTGTCGTTCGTGTCCTTGAGCAAGACACGTAACCTCCCACCTCGCCCCCATTGTCTGTGTGTGAATGGGTGAGTGGTTCTTTGATGTAAAGTGCTTCGAAGGCCTTGAGGGTGGAAAAGTGCTGTATAAAAATGTGACCATTTACCATTTCCCGTGTAATCCAGCGCTGCATTGTGTTTGAGACTTGAGTGCTCAGAAAATGCATGTTGTCTCCTACCTCCCCATCCTTACACCTGGACCTACAGCAGATCTTTAAAAAAAACAAAACAAAAAGCTCCAAAAAATAAACCAAAATCATATGAATGGAAATCTTCTGCGAGTTCTAAAGTCATTGGACCTGTTTCTATTACGAAAATAGACCTTTTAAGATCAATATTATAGGGATGTAATAATAATAACCGAAATATCGTGATATCGTATCGTCAAAAGTCTCACAATAATATCGCGGGCTGTCACAATATATCAAATCACAAGTTTCTTCTCTTAAATACATGGTTTTGTAGTAGCAACAGCTCATAAACATTGGAAACTACATATCCCATGATTCATTTCAGAGCAGAAAATATGAAGAAATATGTTTTTTTTTACTTGAATTCTTGGGATTATGACGGAAATAATTCAGACCAAAATCTCATCAAGGTATTTTAAAAGCAAAAAAGTGTTATATCAGCCTCTTCAAAATATCACAATCAATATCGTACCGTGAGATTTGGATATTGTCCCTACACTGTTACACTTAATGAACCAAACGTAAAGTCATGATCCATTTACGTCTATATTATAATATACCAGAAAACATTTGAGAATATACAGCATTAAGAGCTTTATCTGTTTAGTAAAAGCATCGTTTAATCATTCATCAGCTGGAGGTTGATCTGATTGAGCTGAGTCGCTGAATTTAAAATACTCCGTGTGCCTGGTGGGGGAGATATTAGAGAACACACGCTATGCAAAATGTACTTTTATTCATGCTATAATGCTGTACCCAAAAACTACTTTTGAAGCACCATGTACAAAGATTAAAAAAAAACAATAATATCAAAACTACTTTATGCCACTGACACAATAATCCGAAAACAGGATAATCCCAGTAAACCATAAACATTTACAAGAAAAAATGAGCCATAGTCATCACTTGAAGCGCCTGAAGTGACCCAAACCTGATTTTTTTTGCCCCTATGCTCCTGTATTTGATCTTTTAATGATGGTCTGAACGACACAGGTCAGATTTTTTTTCAAATGCGACCCAGGCCGATTAGATATGTGCTCCTAAAACTGATACATATCCGATCTGTTGACATGCGACATCAGTCCAAACGGTCAGGTCACATTCATCCCACCTACACGTCAGGCTCGGAGTCTAGTCAATGGAGGGAAAGCGAGATTAGTGAGTTCATTCATATTTGGGGGGATCGCTGTATTCAGGCCAAATTGGAGGGGTCTTTTTCAGAACCAGACGGTCTTTGAAATGATTGCTAAAGAAATGGCAGAGCGCGGATAAAGGTGGTCGTGGCTCCAATGTCAACAAAAAAAAAGAGCCTGAGAGCCAAATACATGGAGGCTAAAGACTCAAACAAACAGAGCGGCCGTGGATGTGTAACCTGTCCATTTTACCAAGAACTGGACTGTATTTTAGGAGAAAAGCCCGGCGTTTAGGCGACTTCCGTAAACACAGAGCTCGCTCGCTGGGTGTGACGTCGTCGTGTCCTCCAGTGCTCATGTGGGACACTTTTGGGGACGTTTAAAGTTCACACTGGAGATCACATACAAGTCACATTTAACTGGAAATGTGAACAACCTCACAAAAAAAATCAGATTTCACAAAAAAATCTGAATTGAGCGTTAAGTCCTGCAGTCTGAACGTAGCCTTCTTCGGTCTTTACAACCTTTCACAGCTCAAATTTTGTTGTATTAAAACTAAAAAAAAAACAACAACTAATTTTCCCCACTTTTACACACAAAAAATGTAGCCTGATTCATCAGCCGGTTTTACTTCGTTTCACATAGAAACCGTCTGACCTTGCAGCCTTAGAATTCGTTCGCTCAACAGTAGGCGGGTACTTTTATTTTATTTTTATTTAACCAATCGCTGCTATTTGGCCGTGACGTATGTAATGCGCCGCTAACGGGACTAACAGGTATATTAAGCTTTTCCCAAATCCCATAGGAAGAAGGACAATAACGTCTTTCCCATTGATGAAATTCACCAAACATTCTCTTTATTCCGGCTTTAAATCCTCGATCTCGGGAATCGTTGACAATACAGAATATATCACTCTTCGCTGATTGGCGCTAACTTGTACTTCCAACGTTTTTGCGAACTGTCTAGTGTATTTTGAGTCCTGACCTAGTTGCTGGATAGAAATTAAATTGAGCGGTGGCACTAGGTGGCGCCAGCCTGACTATACAGTTTCAGCTTTCATATACTGAATGGTCAATCGAGTTTTGGTAAATGGTCACATTTGACCATGGCACTCAAAGCGCATTACAACAAGGAACCACTCACTCATTCACACACACATTCACACACAGTGTACGCAGACACTGTGGGCAAGGTGGGTTAAGTGTCTTGCACAAGGACACAACAACAGCATTCGTCTGTGGGAGCTGGAATCACACCACCAACCTTCAGATCAGTGGGCGAATGCTCTACCAACTGAGCTACTGCCGCCCATTACTACTACTGCTACTACTGCCCGTTTTTATCATGACAGACCGGCTTCTCTTTGTATTTAGTTTAATTCACGCGTGTTTCAACAACGCATTAATCCAGAATCATCCGTTCACATATTGACTGTTTAGTTACATCGCAGGTAAAACTATGAACTTCCCCTGTGCTTTTTTTTTTTAAAGTCCACAAACCGTCCCCGGACTCATTCTGCGCTCAAACTCTTTTCACAACAAACGTATGGCCCTATTAGCATAGTATTCACAGGGGGGAAAGGACTTCAGTTGTTGACTTTCTAAATGTTAATTCCGTTCGCTGACTGTGGTGTTCTGTAAGGTAAAGTCAATAACCCGGTGTGTGTATCTGCGTGTGTGTGCCTCTCCGCAGGGACGTACGTAACCCAGGTAACGGCCACGGACGCAGACGACCCCACCTACGGCAACAGCGCGCGGGTGGTGTACAGCATCCTGCACGGACAGCCGTACTTCTCTGTGGAGGCCAAGACAGGTACGGCACGACTTCTCATTCAAACTGGGGTAGAGTGTAGAGACTGAGATGTTATCGCTGTGCTTGGGATGTTCCGCAGTGTGGCATTAAAGAGATATTGCGGAGATATTTGTGTTTTTAATTTAAAGGTGCGATGTTTACGTTTTCTGGAGGGTCCGTCAAGCGCTTTTCTCCGTGGAGGTGTTATCGCTTTGTCTGGAATGTTTCGCAGTGTGGCTTTAAACATTTCTATCTTCACGGAGACCAAACCGGACGAGTTTACAGGTCAGATCTGCGGAGAGGCGACCCCGCTCACAGTCAGAATTCCTGTATTTTTGAGCTCTAAAACCACCTAGAATTGAATAAATCTAAGGTAGAGCTGTTTAATGTCATACTGCGGAACGTTCCGGGCAGAGCAATGACGTATCCATGGAAACAAAGCAAAGGAAAAGTGTCAGAGTGCCCCTTTAAAAGATCCATATTGCACTATTTTCTGATTTTCTGAGTTGCGTTTTGTTTCATTCACACGTGTTTAACAAATCCTCTCAAACGGAAAACACTCTGTTCCACCTTGTGATGTCACGTGGTAATACAGGAACAGGAAGTGCTCCAATGAGTTTTTAAACTTCACTAGAATCATTTGGATAATTTCAGCCCTGGAATTAAGAAACTGTACTGATCAAAAGATAAAAGGGTAGCTGTAAAACTTGAAAATTACCACTACAGGACGTCACAAAGTTGAGCATTTTCAGCTTTGATGTAAACAATAAATAAAATCTGGAAGTGTGCTCTTGCATGCTAGTTGTTGCTGGATTTCTGTGGCGACAGAACACGCTCTGATCTTTGAAAGTTGTGAAATGTGCTCATAAAGTCATCACAGTGGATAATTCGGATGCTCTGAATGCGTAAAGGAAGTGAGGAACAATTTTGGACCAATTTTTAAATGAACTAGTTCTTATTTTCACATTTTTAATTCAGTAAAAAGACTCTTTACTGGACCCATTTTATGCTGTTTTCTAATCTATGTTGTTTCCTCATCGAAAATATACCTTTGTTGTTGTGTTTTATTTCATTCACACATGTTTAACGCACAAACCCTGCATATTTAGGCTTCTCTCAAACTGAAAACACTCCGTTCCACCTTGTGATGTCACGTGGTAATACAGGAAGTGCTTCACTGCATTTTTAAAACTCCATGCACCTTCACTAGAATCATCTGGATAATTTCAGCCCTGAATTCCCAATCTCTACTGAACTAAATGTAATTTGAAAACTGCCAATTCATGACATCACAAGGTGGAACAGAGCATTTTGTGTTTTGGAGATGTAGAGAGATTAAAAATAAAGAGAGCAAAACAACTCCAGGTTTGTTTTTGATAAAGCAACAGCATTATAACATGGCTTAAATCTCACAAGAGGTTTTTTTTTTCTTTATAGATGACCAAATTGTATCTTATATTTAGTGTTTTGTTCTCAAGAAGATGTTGTAAGCGTTTGGGTTGCCAGTTCCAGTGCTGAAATCCAGTTGGAACGTTCTCAGATCTCGGCCCTCACGACTTACACCCCAGCACTCGCAGCCAATCATTCATCACAGCTAATAGAAAAAAACAAAAAACAAAAACATTGTCAAACAAGTGCTCTTGCTGTGAGCGGACTGCTGCTGTGGAAGATTATAGCCGAAGCAATAACATCTCCATGGCGACAAGCAGGTGGCAGGTCCTACAAAGCGAAACGTACGCAGTGCACCTTTAATGGTTCCACATTACACACATTTCTGATCTCTGTTATAATGTTGTTTCCTCATCACAAACATACCTGGAGTTGTATTTTGTTTCATTCTCACATGTTTAACTCTTTCCCCCATGAAGATGACATTTGACGTCCCCCCTTGTTTCCTTAACGACGTCTTTTGACACCTCCGCTGTATCACTAAAGACGTGATTTGACGACCATGAGAAACTGCTCGGTTTTTCACATTTAAACAGAGACTGCGATAGGTGGAGGCCACTACAACCCACACTAGGCTGATCAGTAGGATTCAAGGATATGTTTACGCAGATTTTTTCCGAAGTTAATTGAAGTAGTGACGATTGCAGCTTCCGGAAAAAACACAACATGAAACACGTGCAATGGAAAGATCGCGGCGCTGCGGCTCACAGTTTTAGAAATAATGAGGAGCGGACGTATTTTATGGATAAGTTTAGAGAAAGTGACTTTTATAGATTTCAAAGTGATGATGAAGTTGATTATAAAGTGGAAAACAGCGACAGCAACGGACTTTCAGAGAGTGAATCTTACGAAGATGTGAATGCTGCTGATGCGTCTGTGTGGAGTCCTGCGATAAACGAACAAACTATCCGGACTTTATACTCAATTATGAACCAAAATTGCCCTGAAATATTTCAGTCTTTTTTTCCAAGATGCGATGTATGACAACAGACGCTTATGCGGAGCTCTGCGCATGAGAAAGTAACCAAGATAACAAATACTGAATACCCACTGACAGGGAAGAGTTTTATTATTATTATATTATTATATTATAATAAGCTAAATGGGTTGAATAAGTTAAATGGAAAAAATGTATTAGGTCCACACAGGTGTACAACAGCTAAAAACAGGTGTACACTTGACTATACTGTATCTAGTGATATGAAATCTGTTTAAATACTTTGACACAAAGTATATATATATATATATATATATATATATATATATATATATATATATATATATATATATATATATATATATATATATATATATATTTTTTTTTTTTTTTTTTTTATGAATATAGTACTCAGAACATGCAGATATCAGATGCTGAATGTAGTTTTTTGTTTTCGATTTTGCACCTGACCAGGTAAACTCTCATGTTCAGTGAGCTGTTATACACCTATAAATGAGTTGAATCACATTTAAACATCCATAAATGAAGAGTTCAGAGTCTAAGGTTTCCAGAGATACAAATATGTCTGTGTTACAATTCATGAGTGTAAAAATCATTTATAATCACTTGTGGAAGTCTGTTTTCTTTTATGCAGTTATGCTCTAAGGGCGGCCCTAGTCATATATGTATGGGTTGTTCCTCGTAGGCGTCCAGGGGGGAAAGAGTTAACGCATAAACCCTGCATATTTAGGCTTCTCTTAAAATGAAAACACTCCGTTACACCTTGTGATGTCATGTGATAATACAGGAAGTGCTTCACAGCATTTTTAAAACTCCATGCACCTTCACTAGAATCATTCGGACGATTTCAGATCTGGAATTGCCAATCTCTACTGAACTAAAGGTAAAAAAAAAAGGAGCTGTTAACTTGAAAACTCACAAGTTGGAACAGCATTTTGAGATTTGGACTAATAATAAAGGGTTACTCAAACATGTGTGAATGAAACAAAACTCCAGGTATGTTTTTTAATGAGGTAACAACATTATAACATGACTTAAACCTCACAATAGTCAATTTTGTGCAATAAATGACCTTTAAGTTTTAGAAAGTGTCACCAAATTTCAAGATGGACTAACTTTTGTTTCCGAAATTGCTGGAAAGATCCTTGCCCAATCTCGCACCTGCCCATGACTTCCTGGCCTCAAGCTGGAGGACGCTGAGGCGGTGGGCTCTTTTAAATCAATGGTGAAACTTGGCACTAATTCGCCTCCTCACCCTGACCCAGATGCCCTCCCACACGCAGGACTAAACCAGGCCCCGGTTCGGCGTAGCATCCAGTCATTCCCAATTTATTCCTGTGACACGTAGGCGCTCCCGGGACTGGCGCAAATGAACATGGATTTTCACCACAACTAGTTTTCATGCAAATCGGAATCAATAACACACGAGCAGCGGCAAATCACAGAATGAAGAAAAGGACCGACCGTTTACGATAATGAAGTTTGCTGTGAACTTGCCTGTTTGGTCCAAGATGAATTCACTTTATATTAGTCTAACAGAGAAATGGGCACGCAAAATGGTGGTTATTTCAGGATTCATAAAGTGTTTTTGGTGGTTTTGGTGATTAGGTCCTGACCAGAATTCCAGTTCAAGACATTGAGAAGGTCACTGAGGCTGAACTGTGCGAACCAAGTGAACCTATAACCTCTAAAGAACTCCAAACTTTACAGTAAAGCATAAAAATAGAAATAAAAGTAGTTCGGAGACAACTATTAGATGATATAACATGTCCAATGTAATGTAATTCCCACATTATTGCACCTTTTTTGACATATGTGTTCTATTCTTGGGTTTCAGAGTGACAAAAAAGTGAACACAGTTCCCATAGAAAATAACGATTTAAAACTAAATATATTCTGAATGGTGAAAAGCACTTAAAGGGATGCTATAAAAGGGAAGCTGAAACAAATGAAAACCCACCAAATATCAATATTGAAACCAGACGGAGAAGCAAAGTTAAACCTTCCTTACTTGAATGGTCTTGATTTAACTGAATAAATATAAGACTAGCTGTACATTTTTACTACCGTTGTGGTGTGAAAATTAGCATTAAAGGTGCATTGTGTAACTCTTCTGGTGAACCTGATTCATCAGCCGGTTTCACTTTGTGGAAACCATCTGACCCCAAAGCATTAGGATTTGTTCACTCGACGTAGGCGTTTATTTTTTATTTTTTATTAACCAGTCGCTGCTAATTGGTCGTGACATATGTAATGCACCAAACCCCATAGGAAGAAGGGCAATAAAGTATTTCCCCTTGATTAAATTCACCAAATATTCTCTTTGTTCCGGCTTTAAATCCTCGATCTCGGGAATTGTTGCCAACACAGAATGTCTGTCTTCGTCTACATCCATCTCGACCGCTTTGTTTACTGTTGTACTGTTCCACAAAAGGGACCCAGACAGATGCTTGAGTTTGACGTCATGGCTTCACAGCTCTTCACTGATTGACCGGTGTGCAGTTTACAACTTCCAGGATTTTTGCAAACCATCTAGTGTATTCCGATTCCTGACCTAGTTGCTGGAGAGAAATGAAATTGAGCAGAGGCATTAGGTGGGGGCAGCTTGGCTAAC